AAATTATATACACACACACACACACACACACACACACACACACACACACACACACACACACACACACACACACAGAATCTAACAAAATAGCTGTCATTGCCGCATGAATTTGGGACACATAGGACTAAAGTGATACTGCTTTTCACAACTTTGTTTTTTGCTATGTTTAACTGCCTCTGTCAACTCCATCAATGCCATTTGTATAATAATGAGACCTCTGAGTTAACCTGTGAGCTCTCTAAACCTATTATAACTAAAGCAGCTGTGGCTCTTGAAGAAAAAAACAGACTGACATTTTTTCGGCACATTAGAGTTCTTCATCCTCAGTCATCATCATCATTTTCTAGTCTCTTTGTAGGACTCATTTACTCCTTTGGCGCCCTTGCATTGCAGCTACATGGGTGTCCACACAGAACCATGAGTGCACCCTATAATGACAAAATGTATGTCATTCAGACCCAAGCAAACCCCCACATGCCCACAGTAGCAAAAAGTGTAAATCTAGGTTTATAATGCCTTGTGGATGTCCACATGGATAGTTGTAGACACCACAGATAAGTAGTTACTCTTATAATATTAATTTATAGTCCACTTGGGAGGACTGACTTGCAGTGTAGTGTAGACCATGATTGTGAAACATGCGGCCTGACACCCAGAACCTTCGCAATTGATCTGCAATTTAGGTAATGCAGTGATTCTTGGAATTTTTAAAAAAGGCTTTTAGCCTTGACCAAATTTAGCAAAATGTTTTTGTTCTGTCACCCAAGTGAATTGTGTGCACTGCCATTGCGATAGCTGATACTCATGTTTCTGCTTATAGAGCAACATCCATTGCATATTCTTGCAGACTGTTTCGAGGAAACCTATTTTAAACTGGAAACTGTAGCAGGCCCTGGGATTTGTTTTTAGGTTTGAACATGTCTAACATCTCTACAAACAACAACGACAACAACAAATTTCCCCCCAAAACCAAACCTATCCTCTATCAGTCCAATGATATTGTGCAATTTAATCTTTCTTGAAGATATTTGGTGTTTCACAGTGAAGGAGAAATCACAGTAAGACTAACCTAACCCTGAAACTGTGTATCTGAGTATCAAGAGAACCTGAATTATCTAAAACCCTTGAGAGCCATAATAGTCGTGAACTACAGAGTTGTGCACAGTGATATATTTGCTATAAAGTTTTCTTTTACTGTTGCTCCTGAAATGAGTTTCACATCAATGAGATAAAAGTCAAAATAATGTAGTTATGCAAACTATTTTGCTATGCATGCATGTATAATATGTTTGATTTCTACCGTGTTCTACAGTGATTCATCAAATTTCATATCTCTTATCTTTTTTTTAAATTTTTTATTTGCTATGTCACTACCAGAATATCTAAAGAATGATGTTATAAATGATGTCAAACTAGATTTTAGTCCAAGCAGAGGGAACACCCTGGAGGTCGTGGTGGGGTTGAGGGAGGCACAGACAGGTGGCAGGCAGCCCAGCCTCTGAGCCTTCTGTGGGTGGGCATCCACCCAGAGGTGCCAAACTCTCAGCCAGGCTCCCACAGCCTCACCTTGCTCAGAGTGACTGGCAGGGTCGATCAGCGGGTTCAAACCCAGTTCACTCTGCCCGCAGCCTGACATAGCACATACCTATCCATCACTTTCAGAGCTCAGGCCACAACAGTATCATATTATACACTTATGTCCTTTTATCTGTCATATTTAAGCCTTCTGGAGCTTCCAGCTCGTCAGTTTTCTAGTCAGAACAACTGAATGTGCTCCCAGCTGGAGGACACTGTCTACAAACATGTATTTATTTAATTACCTGCTTTACAGCATGCCAGTTTTCCATCAAGGAGAATACGCCATTGACACAAAGCCAACTGGAAAGAACAGAATTAACTGCTGTGTTGAACAGGGTTTGGATTTATGACAGCTTTGATGTTTAATAGATGATTTAATAAAGAGCAGACAGTCCAACACAGACAGGAAAGACAAATTGCCTCCTAGCTCAGAAAAGGGGATGCATCCAACTGGAAAATGCTGTGAAAAAGCATAAATGCACAGACTCAGCATTCACAGACAATCAGTAAACATGTCATGTTGTTTTTTTTAGTGAAGTTGTACACTCGAATAAAACCTGAATGTTTTATTATTTGGAATAGGTTTCAGATTTAAGATGCCATATTTTTTTTAAGACACGAATGCAAAATTTAAAACTTTAGTTTTCACTAAAATGGGAAATTTATCATCTCTATTATGTTCTAAATCTACCCCATAAAAAGCCCTCAGTAGGGCAATCGTTTTTATTTAAGGGGATAGAAGGCACACCGGTCTCCCCTTTGGGAGATATGAACTGGGGAAATGTTTGCCTTCTCTTTGAATATATTGGAACTAAACTGTGCTCACCTGGCCTTGCTTAAAGTGTACAAACACATAAAAATAAATTTCAAAAACTTGACAGAAATGTCTCTTTCCAAAAATCTTCCTTTAGTTAAACATCCACAAACTTACTGTGAGCCATTTAATGCAGGAATTATTTCTACCAGCCTTATCCTTGAAGAAAAAGCCATGTATCTGTATGTGTAGAGAGTTTGTGGGTCTCACCCATCTCTTGGTTGGTGATGTGTAGTGGAAAGACAATAGTTCGTACGAGAAACTGTTCACAGTATGTGTGTATTATTCTAAGTACATTAGCCAAAATTTCCGGAAAGATAAGTTCTGTTTAGTTTTTCAAATGTCTTAATTTGGTACTTTTAGCACCATAAATCAAGTATAATTTCTCAAAAACTTGACAACTCACATCAAAAATAATGGAAATTACAGACCAGAGGAAAAAATAGAACACTTAAAGGGAATTTTGGGGTGAACTGTTCCTTTAATACCGAGCCTTTTCCAGGGAAAACACAGAAAGACTGGGGACACAGAGAGGTTACCAGTGACTATATTTTCCAGCATTCCTGGTTCTCACTGCTGAGGTGTGAAGTGACGCCTTCAGACTCATCAGTTCCCATGAGTGTGAAATAATCACACCTCAGCTTTAACTGGATAACAGAGGTTCATTAGGCTCCATTAAACCTCATTATATTTGCATTTTAGCCATTCAGGGCATAACTTTTCTTCCTTGAAGCACATAAAACAAGAGCAGCGGTTTCAGTTCACCGATCGAGGTAAAGACAGAAGAGGATTGGCGCTCACGCCTGATTTGCTGTGACAATAAAATGATCACACAGGTGAGAAATGGTGGGATGTAAAATGAAGGAGATGAAGTGAAGAATAGAGGACGCTGTCAGGTTCAAGGCTAGAGAGAGGTGAGGAGAGGCAAAGACCTGTTGAAGCAGCACATCCACTGTTCAAATACATGCCACACATGATCAAAACAACACACAATCCCAGACTCTCGATTTAGCATTTTCATTCTGCACGCCAGCTTTTAATATTTTACTTAATGTCATTCATTAGTGTTGTGTTTTAAGTCATAAACAATATTCACACCCAATTCAAACCCTGCACAGACCAACCTGCTACATCTGACGTCAAAATGAATCAGATAATAGGAGCAGTCTAATATCTGGGCTTGCCTCAACTGGTTTAAAGCCATAAAACATGCATTTAGGCATAAACTGCACTTCATAGAAGAATTTAAGAGCTGATCACACAGGGTGTCGGGGTTTACAGCCTCATGCAACATATTGCTTGGTTGCTGAAATACATGTTTAAGTGTTTGCATTATAAAAACCTGTTCTGAATGTAAATCTTGCATGTTACTGCCAAACTGTAACTAAAGAAGTACCCAACTTTGGAAACCCTAACCGAGAATTGAAAATGGAAATGGAAAGCTAAGTAGAAACTATAATATCAGTACTATAATAACTCTGATGTTGAATCAGATTTAGAAAATGTTATTGTTTTAATACTATCTATCTTTAGTACTATCTGTCGTGCAGCTGTTGAAATTTAGCTCGTTGATAGATATTTGCTGATAATGGATGAGAATCCTGATTAAGTTCCACATACTTCTAATTTATAGTAAACGTTGACTTTTCTTGGTACTTTTGCAGATTAGTGTGAAGTACATATGCACATAACATCCATCTTCAGGAGCCAATGTAAAAAACTGTGGTTAAGTCAGCATACAGGCAGGTTTTTCTGTATCGTATATCATTGCTTTATTTCTGCAGTGTATGTCTTCTTCACACTCTTCTGTCATATTGTTGAGTGCGCTGACCTTTTCGCATGTTTGCTTGTGCGTGTGTGTGTTTGTTAGCAAGTGAATGTAAGAAAGAGAAATGAGATTATTCCAAACAAATCCCTTAAACATGTGCAAAATGCATCAGGCCTGCTGCAGGGACAAAAAGCCAAAAAACCAAAATCTGTTTATTGTTTTCAGAAGGAGTCAAAATTCACACGTCGACTGCTGTAGCTCTGAGCTTTCCCAGATTCAGAGAAGAGGGAGAACCAGAGGGAGAGGTACAGAGACAGGGTCCCACTCATGATGTGTGTGTGTGTGTGTGTGTGTTCAGGGGCAGTAGCCTCTGCTTAGACAGTGATTGTGAGAATCTGTGGAGGTGTCACTTCGCACCTCTGTGGCCTGGCCTGGGCTTATAAAGCACTGGAGCAGAGCTGAGGAGCACTTAAAGCTTTCCAGTCTCTCCGGTCACACTGTTGAGACCCTTAAACACAACATGGATACCTCCTCAGTTCCTCACCTTGACTACAGTCTGCAGTACCAGTGGTTCTCCGACTCGGACCTCTCCAGCATCTCCTCCCCAGAGACACTTTCTCCTGTCCACTCCATGGACTCCAGCCTCTCTCCTGGCTACCAGCAGCTCCCACAGTGTACTCCCAAGGGAGCCAAGACCGGTTATTCCCAAAGCCTCAAGTCCTCACCGTGCTCCTTGTCCGGACGTGGGCGCAGGACTGGGAGGCCCACTCGGATCCGGAGCAAGCAGAGGGAGAGCGCCAGCGAAAAGGAGAAATTAAGGATGAGGGATCTGACTAAGGCTCTACATCACCTCAGGTCCTACCTTCCACCTTCAGTGGCACCTGCCGGACAAACTCTGACGAAGATAGAAACCCTCCGACTCACCATCCGCTACATCTCCTACCTCTCATCCCAGCTGGGCCTCAGCGAAGAGGTGCTGTTTCAGAGGAGGGAACGAGCAGACACCTCAGTCAGTGACACGTCATCCACTGACATCCTCAGCTACTTCCAGAGTGCTTCCACAGGAGGACAAGTGACTCAGATGCAGAGCCAGAATCTGATCCAGAGCAGCCTGTACCCAAAACCATGTTATAGCCAGAATACTGTGCTGCATTCTGGGAATTGTAGTATTGGAGTGGATCAGCACCACAGACCATACAATGAAGCTCCCCAGAGAGATATGAGCATGGACGGTATCCTACAGTCGCCTCCAGTGCCACAGCCTTCCTGTCAGGTTTGTGAATATTAAATCAGTCACATAATTAAGAATTCACTGTTTGTACAACAATTTTTTTTGCATGTTTCTAATACTAATATATCTTCCACTTTCTTCAAAACAGATGTGTGGCAAAGACTTCTGCACCCCGCTGGTTCCAAGGGAGTATTGGGGTTGAACGCTCCAATCTCTGTGTGATCCTCAGCAGAAAAAGACAACAAACTTTACTGTGTTTACTGCTTCACTGTGAATCAAGTTATTTATTTGAAATAATCATTCTAATTCTATCTTTTATTTATTTTCTCCTCTGAAAAATTCCATGTAAATATTGATATGACTAACAGTTATTTTTCTATTTCTGTATACCACTATTTATAATAAACCATTTAAATATAAAATATCTTGTCCGGATTCGAAGCTTCTCTCGCCAGTCAGTTTCTTTCATTCACATTTCATGTGCATGGATGAGGTGTGCACATGTGAAAAAGGAAAGACTGCAATAACACACAGCTAAATAAAATATAAGTGAGCACACTTTTGAATGCACTTTTGACAATAAAAAAACAAACATGTATGTTTGTGGTTATATTTTGTGTCCATTCTTGTATAATTTAGTACTGAGAAACTATATTAAACATGTAAAGCAGCATGGAGCTCTGGGGATTTACCAGAGGGCGCCCTCTGCTGGTAACAAATACAGAGGAGAAGAACCCATCTCCCACACTCATTCGTAGCTGTAATACTTTGAATGGAACACCTCCACGATATATATATAATATATATATATATATATATATTATATATGATATATATTATATATAATATTATATATATATATATATATATATAATAATATTATATATATATTATATAAAAATTTTTAAGCTCGTGAAATATATATATTTTATGAATAATATAATATATATATATATATCATATATATATATATATATAATAATTATAATAATATATATATATTATATTAATAATATATATATATATAAATATAATATATATAATTATATAGTATGATATTAAAAATATATCCCTATAAAAATTATCCCTATATTTTATAGGATATATATATATATATATATTTATATATTATATATATATATATATATATTATTTATATATATATATATAATATATGTATATATATATATATATATATGTGTATATATATATATATATATCAAAAGCTATATCAAGATTGCGGGCCATTAACACAGATATTTTGAAGTGGCGTCTTAAAATCAGGTCTCAGTGAAATTTGATCTATCCATCCATCCATCCATTCGCTTCCGCTTGATCCTTTTCAGGGTCTGCGGGGTGCGCTGGAGCCAATCCCAGCTGTCATAGGGCGAAAGGCGGGGTACATTATATATATTATATTATATTATATTATATTATATTATATTATATTATATTATATTATATTATATTATATTATAGCACTGGTTGAGCTTACATTCATTTGGGTTCAGGATTTGTTTGTTTCATTTCAGTTTTGTTTTGTTTTTTAATATTTAACAAGTTTTTATTATGGTTATGGTTAAGTTTTTATTACTTTTATTAAATGTTATCTGTAGGCTTTTTAGGTATTATAACATAGTAGATATTTGCCACTAGCAAATATAACTCATATATAGCATTATAGAAACGTAGAAAGTCATGTACAGGTACTCCAGCTTCCCCCCATAGTCTAAAAACATGCATGTTAGGTTGATGTGTCATGGCTGTCTGTCTGCGTTGCCCCTGTGACAGACTGGCAACCTGCCCAGGTTTACCCTAAGCCACCTGGGAAGGCTCCAGCTGGCTGCAAAAATTAATTTAACTTATATTTTTATAGGGATAAATATGTTATGTGAACTGTGCCACATTGAATGGCATTTATAGCCTTAACTAGTTTGCAAACACATACAGAAAAATATCAATAACATAAAAAGAAAATGATTTCCATAACAGCCCCTCACATCTTCCAGTAGATGACAATCCATAAATAATCATTACTTTTCATATGGATTTATTATTTTAGCCGTCATCTTCAAATCGAATCATGTTATCTTCATATCTTATTTACTTTTGCTCTTGTATCGCTCTGTCATAATTTTTTAGGTTATGAACACCAGACTGTAGTGGTGTAAGTTTGAATTGTGCTGTTTTGATTTCATTTTTTAAACTTTGCTTTAATTTCCCCGCACAACGTCTGTGTGTACAAAAGTTCTTTCTGTATGAAACTGCCTGGCCTTATATTTGAATAACAGTTGTTTTTGTTTATTTCACATAAATGAGAAAAATAAAAATTTCATTTGAATATTACAAGTTCAGTCATCTTTCTTTAGTGCAAACACACACATATAGCCCGGAAACTAGCCTTTCCAGAAGCCTCTTAAAAATATCTCTGTTGGGGGGCTAAAGTACTTGAAGAATCTCCACAACATGTCAGAGATCAGTCTCTGTGACTGGTTATCTAGTTTTCTTTTGGTGTATCTTTGTTAATGGGGCACTGCAAACACAGAGAGGTTCCTGGCACCACTGAGTCTAGACTAAGATCCCTCCCTGCTCTTTCCCTTTTCTTTCACCTCATGCCCTAATTACCTGCTAAGCCCACCGAGAACACTTTAATATTCATAGAGAATAGTGGATCTGCATATCAGGCTGGAGAATTAGGCCCCAGTGTTTCATTTGCCACCTACATGTGCTTCATTTGATATGCGAGCAGTAAGCCTAACACAAAGCCTAATATTCTCACTGAGGTCTTTCATCGTGGTAGAGTTAATAAACTCTGGGCTAAAAGGGTTTGGGATGAAAGGGTTAGCACCGCTGTGCTGATTATTCACTCATTACATGTGAGTAAACAACATCAGAGCTAATGTGGATTAAGAGAAGGAAGATCCTCTTTATCACCGGCCTGGGAGGGAAGAAGACAGTTGACAGCTGGGGAAAATCTGCAGAAGTTCAAAATGAAAAAGAAATTAATGAATAAAATGTGAATACAGAGTTGAAGCAAGTTCTGTCAAAAAAAAATTATATATATATATATATATATATATATATGTAGCACCTTTGTGTGCTTGTGCTAAAAAAGTAATTTGTATGTAACAAGAGCACTGGACCAGCTGGTAGTTCATTCAATATGTAACAGAAACACATGAATGAATAATAAAACATATGTAAATCCAAACATATATAAATGCAACGTTTCTCCCACTGAAAATGCTACGTCCAGATGAACAGAATCAACTTTTGGAGATTTACTTAACTGGATGACTGAGCATGCATCAAGACATAAATGCAATGTTGTTTTTAAAGGTGACTCGTGGCACAGGGTCAAAGGTCACTGTAGTTTTTAGTTGCTTACACTATGTCCCTTGTCTTTTCCTCAATAACAAATAAAAATTCATGAGGACTTAGAGAAAAAAAGGTCAGCCCCAATCAACAGAAATTTAAAATGCTTAATGTAACGTGCTGTAATGAAATTGCAGTGTTCTGAGGGTGAACTGCAAAAAGTACATCTAAAATTTAAGGTTGCAACTGTGCCAACATTATCTTCACACGTGCATTTGCCGGTATGTGTGTGTTTTTACAGACTCTGTATGCAATTTTACTTGTGCCAACCTGTAGTGCTTCCCCTCTTTTGAATGTTGTCATTATGAACGTTGTCCTGAAGTGTTTTTGTCTTGTCTTTGTTATTTGATTACTGAGTCACTGATTTCATCACCACCATGGCCATCCACGTAGATTTTGTTTCAATGGAACTTTTCAAAAATTCAATGAAATCTTCTACACGAAATCCCAAGTATTGTGCTATATTCCACAACAATAAGGACAGGATAGGATTCATAACACAAAACTACAAACTGAAATTTAAAGATCATTGTTTTATCATGTTAATAACTGAACTGAACTGAACGGACTGTCAGCATAGTTTTGCTACAACTAAAGTACAGTTGTACAATTGTTCTACAAAGAAAAGAAAACAGAAGGCATGTAAACATAATTTTGGCACTAATTTATTATGCACCTGTCTGTACTTATTGTGTTGGTGAATGAGGAAAAATATTATCCAGAGAAATCATAAATATATAACAGTGGTATAACCAGTTGTTACAGCGTCACGGAAGTCCTCTCCCGGACTTATTCCTTCTTCCAGCTGTGGACTTTAATGTCTCTCATTTCAGTATAGCTCAGAAACTTTATTTCTAAGCAGATATGATCACATTAATATAGCATTCATAGTTTACCCAGTTTTTGGGAGTTCGAAATATATCCACACTTCAGCGAATGATAAAATAAGATGGAAAACACAACAGTAATTTATGTGAAACACTACAACTCCTGCCAGTGATGTTGTGATGGTGTCTTGCTTTGGATTGTGGGATGGCATTATTCGCTTTCTTCTGGAATGAATAAATACCGACACTCTGTTCATCTAGATCAGATGTCCAACTCATATTATGGCTGTCACTTTGATACTTTATTGTTCCCTCATTAGGAACCTTCTTAAGCACAAAAGACTGCAATGTTTAAGTGAGCTGACTAGCTTAGTGTCTCCTAAAACCCTTTGAAGCTTAATTAATTTAAAAAAATCAAATGAAGTTTCAAAATAACCAAAGCTGACCGAGCTCTCAAACACATTATTCAATAGGCAACATCAGAAATATGTACAAAACAAAAAACATTCAAATGTAAATATAAAAAAAAGTGTTTTCTTTGAATTAAGGTGGCTGTTTTTCTTGGGGAAGTGTGTTGGTGGGTGCTGTGCGAAACGGGTTCGCACTTCCTAGACATAGGTTTCACCTGTGCTGCAGAAAAGGAGACAAATGTGACGCGCTGGTTTGTGGGAACACTGCTCAGGACTCAGATCCATGGTTCATGAGTGAAAACAAACCCACCAATGGGCAATTAGTGAAGGGATGTGATTGCGTGAATATTATGTGTTTGTAGTTATAGGTGTTATTGAGCATAATTAAGATGAATTTCAGATATATACTGCACAGCAACATGAAAAAAAAATATCCACAATAATGTCATACCTGTTTTTATTGTCTTGGCATTAGTTCTTGATGATCCACAGTTTTACCTTCCAGAAGCACTGAGTACTGCTGCTGTCCAAACAGCTCAAGGTGCAAAATCCTCACACCTCACAGCTGCCCAGACACACTTCTTCCAGCCTGACCTCTGTTACCACATGCCAGAACTAAAACCAGTTAGTAATACACACAACAGCTACATCATCAGCATTTTTTTTAAGTAGGATCATATTTTGAATGGTCATTCAGTGAGCATCCATGAAGCAGAAATGCTGCAAGTGAACATTTTTCCTTTTGTGGAGAAATTGAGATGCGCTTTTGGTAACATACACAATCGGTGC